TAGAAGAGGCACAATGTGTATACCTTTAAATGATCACATAACAGACATGCACATGATAAGCATCTTGAATAGGTGTTGTTACCTGGTTTAATAGTAAACCCTGTGCTGTTGGTATCATTGTAGCTGTTGTGGGATTTGGTTGGGGTCCAGCAAGAACTAGCTGCGGTTGAGTTTGCTGTGTTACCTTATAATAATTCAAGAATTAAAATTATATAACAACAAATAATACGCTTCGAAAATATATTAAATTATGAAAAAACTAAATATATTACTTGATTCGTAATCGTAGTAGTAACACGTTGTTGTTTTTGTTGTGATCCAGTAGCTTGTTGGTTTGGAGGTTTTGGTAAAATTTGTGGTGGTTGCTTTGCAGGTTTAGTTGCTGCTATTTGAATTTGTTGATTTCCAATCAAATGCGTCCTAGTTACCAGCTGTGTTGGCGTTGATTGATACCCCTGTGGTGTACCATGAATTATTTGCAATACTTGCATACCTTGTTGAAGTATTGGTGTATTAGGTCTAACCTGAAATTGAAAAGCATATTAAAACCTAAATCTCTTTTAATTGTAAATTAATATTAAGCTATTTCTTACCACAGGTGGACCAGGACTGCCACCAGGTGCTGGACTTCTGTTGTTTAGAGAGTTATTTCCACTTAACAGATGAGGACTTTTTGCAGGAGGATATGGACTAAGTACAGGACTCTGTATTTGGCTAACACTCATTGGACTCTGCATTGGACTTTGCATTTGTATATTAAAATTATTATTTGAAGTTGATGTTCCAACAGGACTTGGACTGTTTCTATTAGACTGTATTGAATTTGATGCTGGACTTCTAAGTAATAGTCTGTTAGGACTAGGGCTCGGCGTAGGCGGTGCAATATTAGACGCTGGACTTTTTAATGGTATTGAAAACGGACTGCTTGGAGAACTAATATTTTGACTTTGAATGTTTTGCATAGATTTTACAGTATTTATTGTACTGACCACATTTGATGGCTGAGACGAGCCCGTTAATGTTACCGATGAACTTAAACCAGGGTTAATCCCCTGTGAATACTGTCGCTGAGGTTGAAATCCAGTTGACTGAGAGGAACTTAAAGAAGAAGTATGACTCAGTGACATATTCTGTTCATTTGATGCAGATATATTCTGCACATTAGATGTTGACACATTAGATAAATTCGAGTGCATTGTACCAAGATGTGGAATATTCGTAGTGAGATTCACGTTTGAAGCGTGATTCACATTTGCTGTGGTTGAATGGATTGGTTCACTGGAAGTGCTTGTGAATATACTGGAACTTGTCAAGGTACCAGTATTTGATATTTGTGAAATAGTAGACACGTTTGAATTTGGGTGTTGCGATATAGCAGAACTTGGTACATGTGCAATATTTGACCCAACAATGTGTGGTGCAATACTTTGTATACTTTGAATGGCTTGGAATGGAAATTGTGTACTGCTGGAATTCAGACTAGTTTGAGTCAATCCAGTTGTTAAAGCATTAATAGATCGATTGAGACCTTGATTTATACCAGAATTTATACTGGTAGTAGTTAAATTTGCGTTTATATTTGGGTTAATAGCAGTTAAACCAGATACACCAGAGCTTGGGGACGTAAAATTTGTGCTCAAACTGGTAACATTCTGGTTTATATTTGAATTTAAACTTGTCAAATTCTGATTTACGTTGGTAATTCCAGTATTTACACTGGACAATCCAGAATTTATATTTGTTGAATTTAATGTATTGAGCCTATTAATTCCAGTATTTATACTATTTAAATCCTGTCCCAAACCAGATAACCCATTATTAATACTGTTTGAACCAATATTTGAGGTTAAATTCGAGTTTATAGTATTCAAGTGATTGAGGCTAGGATTTATTGTAGTTAGTCCTGTATTTATACTTGGCAGGCCCAAATTGAGCAGAGGATTTGATGTAGTGATGACATTAGATGTGAGGGATGTAAGGCTGGTATTTAAAAGTGATAGTGGCAATCCCATATTAAGGCCCACCCCAAAAGTGGGGGTGGCCGGGGGTAGGCCCATACCAGTCCCTGAGGGATTTATGGTACCCTGATTTAAATGGTTTAACTGGTTTACATATACTATGTGGTTTCCAGTCGTTGACCCATTTCCTTGGTCTTGTGGCTGCAAATTTTAATAATAAAAACAAATATTACTCATATTTCATAATAACAGTTTCTAAATAAATAATATACATACACAGTGATTCAGAACTACAGGTAAATTAAACAAAAGATGGTAGAGAAAGTAACATTTTTTATCTAATAAACATATTTTTAATCTTGCTTTATTTTTGAATAATGAGTTTGAATCACTCTATATATTTATATGTAGGTATATGTATTCTTAAATACTTACATTATTTGATGTTTGTTGCAAAGCAAATGTCAATGATTGACCACTCGAATTTTGAGCCTGCAGTTGTTGTAACTGTTGTAACTAAAAGAAGTTACAGTAAAAATACGATATTAGGTGCAACCTGATTCTTACATATTAAATTTTTATTTGGAGAGCTCATACTTGTTGATGTGTTAAAACAGTAACAGGATTGTTACGCCGAGCAGTTGGGGAAGTTGTAGAGGATACTGAGTCCCCGAGAAGAGGGCGTGACTGAGGCTGCTGCATGCCCACGCAGCCCCTCTTTACTCTGGGCAGCGTCTAGCCACCTTTTCAGCTTATCTATGTTTGTTTCTATATACTCCTATATATTTGCAACACATAATTGAACATTATTAACTGGAATCTAATTGCAATAACTAAATTTGAATATATGAATACACAGTTATAATATTATAAAACAGATGATGAAATCCAGAAATATCTGTTTCTTTAATACTTTATAAAGAACAGTTATGTTACTTACCACTCATGAATTATAGCTCAGTGATAGTAGATTATATTTGCGCTACGGCGCCACTCAACGCGTCTGCGACCTACGTCTCCTATTCCTGTCATGCATGTAACTTCTTATATCACCCGTTATTTAGGCAATATCTTTTTAGTTTTTCAAAATATGTTTATTTACATGGGTTGTTGATATTTGTTTTTAATATCATATCTTAATGTTAACCATGTTTGAATATTAAATTGTTGTATACAGCAGGTAGTTCTTTTTCGAACTACATTATCCATTAAAGAATAACTGCACAACAGCATTTTGAAAATATTCTAGTTTATCTTTAAAACACATTTGTTGCAAGATTACATCCATGTATAAACACAATGGAACTACATTTTTCCATGACATTACATTAGAAATTGTGCATATAAAACAATTCTGTATGTCACTTTATAAATGCTATATGTTTCGTATTATTCCAATTCCAGGTAACATTTGGTAGATATTCCTTAGCAAGTCATGAATATTCAAAGCACTAGTATCAAGACATTTTACATTTGAATTATAAATATAGCTCAGAACTGTTTTAAGTTTTAGTGTTGTTTAAAAATGTCACATACACTACACTTATGGCTTCACAAATCCTATATTTAATTTGTACCCTGCAACATGTAAACAATATTCAGTTAGTCATTACAGATAAAATTAACACACTTTACAGTCCTATTCAAATAGAATGACTTTTCTTGAATTTGCACTGAACTATTAATATTTAAGTTTATTAGAACTGGTACTATAAAACAAAATACACTGTATTACTGAGAAATTATGTCATGTATATTAAGATAGCAATCATCACATTGTTATGGCACAATGACACTTGGAACTATAAGTAACCATTCTAAAGTGTGAAAAATGTTCTGTACAAAAATTCGACAGCTGGAAGCATATTTTGAGGTTATAACTTGCGCGCCTGTGTGCAAGCATACGTGCCACACGAGCCACTTACACGCATACAAGAATCGCATACATCTCACTCTCACTTAAAGGTACCAGCGGCGCGCGGATGCACACAACAAAAGCCCAACTGACAAGGCGTAAACAAAAGAAAAAGCAACCATCTGTGAAAAATTTTTCGGTTCGAATAGCTGAGAAACCCAAAGAAGGTATCCTGGATACGTGTATTTCATATTGACGCGGAAAAATGCGAGTAGCGTCGTGATGAAAAATTGTCAATATTACCTCCGCGAACGCGGTTTTGCCACCCGTGTTTTCTTCTTGCGATTTTTCGTTTTTTCACACTTCTTTCAGCATGATTTTAGTTCTGAGCACAACATTTTATTCCTTTGCAAACAGAAACAACATACATGAAGTACATGAGAGGAAAAATTCTACTTAAAATAATAAACTTTTCTGGCACACGACAGTTCCATGTACGCGTTACACTATTCGGTGGCAACGGCCATCATGTATTTGTCAAGGCTGCCATTAGCACAAGTCTATAAAATCCCAGAGCTTTTACCATTGGCGACACCTCGGTTATGGTACTGTAACTTTTTGCAGCACCCATTTAGTAAAATCTTTATCCTGATTGGTCAATGTTTTACTTATAACCAATCAGTAAACAGAAACTGTTGGTAATCTTAATATGATAGCTCTTTGAAGGCTTTAAACAAAATAGATTTGCTAAAAATTTTTACTTAATTACACCATATGTTCTTAATGTAATGTAATGATAAATAAATTTAAGGCTCTTTTTATTTTGAAATGAATTTGTCAATTTTTGTTAACACTTTTCAAAATGACACAATTTTTGCCTCAATATATTTACCGCTGTGTGTATGCATACATACGTCATACGCATTAGCGTGTATATACAGTGTTAATATATGTATATACACATATGATTTTACACATATTCTATAATTTGAATTTATAATTAAATGAATGTTATCATATATATGAATTCTTTTATTTTAAATAACAAAAAATGGTATAAATAACTTAATCTCATAATAAAACAGTAATTTTTAACGTGATTTGCTCAGAAAAATGTCATTGTTGAAAAACATTCTAATTTATTAATCTTCTTACAAATAAAAACTGTAGTTTGTTACCATAATTAATTATAAACCATATTCCGAATCAATAGATCCAACTACATATGCTACAACTGTTGCATGATCTAATTTTCCAGGAATCATGGAAACCTTATCCAACGTCTTTATTCGTCGAGTTCGCTGTTCTTGTTTGGAAAGTTGTATTAATTGGCCATCTTTATTTTGCGCATAATATAAATCCGTATCTTCCAATATTCGTCTTTTAGCAGCAGTTATGCGCACCTTATTATATATAAAAATATGACTTCTGTTAGTACATTATGTATAAAAATATGACTTCTATTTTATGTAATATTTTTTAATTTTATTTATTGGCCGTTAAAAAATGAATAAACCATGCACTGCATGTGTATTGTTTTACATATTCTATTATTAAACTTTAGAAAACTTACTGCAAAATCCAAGAGAAGTTCACAAAGATGTTTGGCACTGTTACATGGTGGACCTTCTCCAGATACTCCCCTTCGTAACAAATCTTCCATCCTAAGAAGTGTGAGCTCATGTCTTTGATATGCCTCAACTACGGGCAAACTAGATTTATTTCTGTTACTATTGCCGGATTCTGTATGTCTCAAGTTTTCAGCAGACTTTCGACGCGTTTTAGACCTTCCATCAGTGTGATTTTTTACATTTGAATCAGGTACAGAATTGTGACAAGGTAAAATAGCAAATTTTCCAACCACAGGATCAAAATTATCCGAAATTCCATCACTAGTCAAAAATACAATATCTCCTTTTTCAACTTCTGTCATTGCAAGTGTTAAGTTATTCAATTCTGGATTAGATCCATCCACAGGACCTAGAGCTCCAAGAGCATCACGCATATCGCGCATACAGTGTATATCATGAGATCCTCTTGTTATTTCTCTTACTCCAGTTTTCCTATGAGTATCATATATTACCTTTATATTTTA